GAAAGACAAACACTTCTTCATCAAAAAAAAAAGAGGAAGAAGATTGATAGATATCGTCAGACTACATGATAAATGATTTTTTTTTGACTAGGCAATGGGATTAAGTGACTTGCCCAGGGTCACACAGCTACTAAGTGTTATGTGTTTAAGGATAGATTTGAACTCAGGTCCTCCTGACTTCAAGGCTGGTGCTCTAAACATTGTGCCATCTAGCTACCCCATGATAAATGATTTTTTAAAAATCTGTAGAAATACTTTTGAAACAAGCATACATCACTTCATTGAATAATGGTAAAGGCACACACCATTGGATCTGTCAAATGTAACCCAAGTGGAGCCTATGAAATTTCCAAGATTCAACAGAGGAACCAAAATGTCTCTGTGGGAGATGTTCACATGAACTCAGCCAACAATACATCAATAAGTAAGCAGCAAACAAATTTCTGAGTCATGTGGATTTGTTTATGGAAATGGAGTTTGTGATGGCAATTTAGCATCTGCTCATCACAACCAGAAATTACACTAGTCATTTTTAAGGAGCCTGTACTTAGTGATGGGTGCAGATTGTGCAAAGAAACAATAGAAACACAGGGTCACTGTAGGGGAGGGGCAAAAAATTAGCCCCTACTGAGTATCTGGCGAGATGTGACCTGGTGGCTAGAAATACATGCCAGGTGTCCCAAAAGTCTTAATGTGGCTTCTTAAATCTTAAAACTGCACTAAGACTTTTGGAGCACCCTATGTAAGACTCTCACTTATTTTCATGAACTGACACAAACCCCCTCCAACTTTGCAGATTGTAACCTTGTTCCCTAGAGCCCGTCCATGCCTCCGCATTTGTGCCTCTCTTATCCATGTCCTCCCTTAGGTTTGCTAAAGGGGTTCCACGCAGTGTGCTGGAGGCTTTCCTCCTTTTCTCCTGATGTTGCAAGGGGACCAGTGGAGCACTGCACCTGGCATCCCTGTCTCTCACCACACAACCAACCATCTCCCTTTTTTCTGTTCTCTCTCAAAGGTCTTTGTTGCATCCTGCTCACACCCACCCCGTGCTTCTCTGTGGCCTTCTGTGTGATGCTCATTTTCCATTCCTCCAAGGCTGGTGTGTTCTATATCTCTGCTGTCATTCAACAGCACTGGTATATCGATATTAAAAAGATGGATCTTTGTTTCTAGGACAAGTTTGGGGTCATTAAAGGAGCTTTACAGTTTCTCAGAGCATTGTAGTCCACTAATCTCCTCTTGCTTTGTTCTTTATCTAGGTGAATTTTAAAAAGTTGTCTTTTAAAAAATTATAAGCTCTATTATCTAAAAAATTAGCTCTATTATCTATAATATAATTACACACAACATAATTATAAACATATAAAACAAGGGGCAAAAATCTCACTAGAATCCTCCCGGCCATTAAAAAGGCAGAAACAAAAGAATCTACAAACAAGAAACAAACAAATAAGATGTTTTTGTTCTGGGCTCCCTTCCAGGCCTAGCTCTGGCCTGGTTTTCTTTCCTTTTTTCTTTTCTTCTATGCTTAACAATATAGCTTTAGTCAATGTCCTGTGCTAAGTCCCTTTTGCATCACTTTCATATATGTCTTTCCATATTTCTTTGTGTAGGTTCCATATTTTGTGGCTCCATAATATTCCATTATATAAATAGACCATTATTTAGGCATTTGGCTTGATTAATGTAATTAATTTATCTTAATTAATTGAGGTAATTAAGGAGGGAGTTTTATCACACTAGAGTAGGTACAAAGCTTAGATGGACAAGTTGACCGGGGTGCAGAGTTGGTTTGTTTGATCCGGTCTCACCTCTTCTGCTCTTTGGCCACTCCTGCAAGTGTAACCTGGGCTTCTCTGGGCATGCCCATTTCTCACATGATGGCCTTCTGGGGCCTTCTTGCTCCTGACCCTATAACAGTGATAGGAAAAGGAAATAGAATTTCTTTTTTCCAAACCTCAATCAGGATATGTTTAAGCAATGTTTCCTGTCTATTGGCAGGGTTGGGGAGTGCATTAGTTCATTTCTGGAGCTTGTTCTCCATTTGGGTATATGGTAGAAGGAAGGGGGAGGAGAATAAGAATTTATTAAACACCTACTATGTGCCAGTTATTGTGCTAAGCACTTTACAAATATCTCATTTGATCCTCAACAACCCTGGGGAGTAGATGCTAGTATGATCCCCCTTTTACAGTTGAGGAACCTGAGGTAGACAGAGGTTAAGTGACTTGCTCAAGGTTATACAACCAGTAAATGTCTGAGGCTGGATTTGAACTCAAAACTTCCTGACTCCAGGCCCAGTGCTCTATCCGCTGTGTTACTTTGCTAGAGAAATGAGAAGATGAGGCACATAGGATCAAATGTCACATTAGGGCTTCCTCTGTGTTGCCTCTAAGTACAATCTGAGGCTGTATTAATAGAAAACAGAAGGAAGGAGGTGGTCATCCATTGTGATGTCTGCTCTGGTTAAATCAGATCTGGAATAGCATGTTCAAATCCAAACACCACTTCTTAGAAGGGACATTGACAAGATGGAATAAGGCCATAGAAGTGAAACCAGAATGATGAGGGGAAATGAAAGCCTATCATTTATATGAAGGAATTTTGGAGGTTTAGTCCCCCAAAAAAGAAGATTTAGGAGGGATATGACAATTCTCTTCAAATTTTAAGAACTTAAGAAAGTGTTAGAGATAACAATGGAAACAGTACGTTAGGGTTTACACAGAACTTTAAAGACATCATCTCACTACTTCATTTACTCCCCTGCATTTCTTTCTTAAATAACAGGTGGGTCCTGGTGGATAATCCCAGCTTTTTCAGGCATTTGTCACAATTTGCTGTATAAGAAATAATGATAGCTCAGACTTATTTAGGTTTACAAAACACTTTGATTAAAACACTCTGAGGAAGGCAATACAGGTGATATTATCCCTATTTTAGAGATGGGGAAACTGAGGCTCAGAAAGGTGCCCGTGGTCACACAGCTAGTAAATTTCCGAATTAAGAGTCAAGCTCAGTTCAATCACGCCAGTATTGATTAATGTGGCAGACACTGTGCTGGGGTGCTCTAGGGATATGACAGAAGTCATCTCATGACCTCAAATCCAAGACTAGTTCCCTACCAAGTTAGTGGGGCAGGAGAGGATGATCAATAGTGTCAAAGGCTGCAGAGAGGTTGAGGAGAATGGGGATGGAGGAAAGGCCATTATATCTGGCTACGAAGAGATCATTGGTGACTTGGAGAGAGCAGTTTCAGTGAAATGGTGAGGGGGGAAGCTGGATTGGAAGGGGTTAAGAAGAGGGGGAGAGGAAAGCAAGTGGAGGGCCTTTTCCAGGAGTTTGGCCACACAGGACAGAAGGGCTAGAGGATGATAGTGGGATGGAAGGCTCCAGGGAGGGATTAACACCCGTGTTGATGGTGGGAGTTCTCTATGCTGACAATATCATAGATTCCTAACACATATTTGTATGTTCTAAGGGACTTTTTCCTTTGTTGTTCAGTCATTTTTCATCTGTGTCCAACTCTTCATGACCTCATCTTAGCAAAGATACTGGAATGGTTTGCCATTTCCTTTTCCAGCTCATTTGACAGATGAGGAAACTGAGGCAAACAGGGTTAAGTGACTTGCCCAGGGTCACACAGCTAGTGTCTGAGGCTGGATTTGAATTCAGAAAGAGGATTCCTCCTAACTACAAGCTCCTCACTCTATCCACTTCACCACCTAGCTGTGCTTTAATTTTTCTTTACATTGAACCAAAATCTATCTCCCTGTAATTTTCATGCATGGGTTATAAATCTGCCGTTGATAACCAAACAAAATAACTTAATCCCTCTCCCATGTGACAGTTCTTCAATATTGGAAGACAATTGTCATGTCCCTCTTAAGTCTTCTCTTTGGGGGACTAACCCTCCAAAATTCCTTCATATAAATCGTATGATTTCATTTCCCCTCATCATTCTGATTATCTTCTATGGTCTTATTCCATCTTGTCAATGTCCTTTCCAAGAAAAGCCCAAACAGGGTCACAAAGAGTCGGACACGACTAAAATGACTGAACAACAGTTCAGTCTAGGAAGTATGTGCTAGGAAGTATCCTGAGCACTGAGGATAAAAAGGCAAAAATGAAAACAGTGCTGAGCCCAAGGAGCTTACATTCTATTTAAAATTTTTTCTTTTAAAAATATGAACATCAACACACCAACATTTCCATATATAAATGAACAAAAAGGACAATTTTATGTGAAATGACTATTAAATACAGCTTGTTTTGTGCCTTCTCTCTGAGAATATCTCCGAATTAACATGTATATATCTTGTTTGTATATAGTTGTTTATATGTTGTGTCTTTCCTTCCAGCCATCCCGTTAGACTGTAAGCTCCTAGAGGGCAGGGGCTATTTTTGCCTTCCTTTGTATCCCCAGCAGTTAGCACAGTGGTGCTTAATAAGGAGTACAGGGATCTGCACCCAGAGACCTCTCTCAGCAGCAGTGACTGAAGGTCTCCCGAAAGGAATCTTTTACCCAGAGGTCTCACCTCTACTCACTCCCTAGAAAGAAACCACTTTCTCCCAGTTTTACCGATGGGGAAGCTGCGTCCTGCTGAGGAGAGCCGAGATCTATCTCTCTTCCTCCTGGTCAAACTGAGACAAGGCTTCAAGAGTGCTGGTCCTCAGCCCAGCCCAACTTATAGAGTATCTTTCCTGTTCCTAAGCACCCAACTCCAACTGCAACCTGGGGCCCAGATATCCTTTACAGAGCTACACAGTGGGAGAGACTGTCTGCCTTTCTGCAGCCACACAGCTGGCCCCTCTTAACCTCATTATGCTGTGGCTAATCTTTCTGCCTTATTGTCTTACGCTAATGAGGAAGGGGAGCCAGGCCTGAGGCTCCCTTATGGCCCTAGGAAGAGACAGAAAGGACCTGGACTGGGAAGGAGAACCCCATGATGCCATGCACCGTGTATGTGTGTGTTAAAGACCCTTTTCTGTTCTAATTATAGGATGCTGCAGAATAACCAGCTGAGTAGAATCCCTGCTGAGGCATTGTGGGAGCTGCCCAACCTCCAGTCTCTGTAAGTCATTAGTGTGCCGACACTCAGAGTCCTGTAGACTCGGTCTCCTGGGGCCGTCAGCTTCCCCAGGCCTGAGTCACAGACTTTGCCTTTGTTGCAGCCTTTTGGGCCCCCCTCCTTTTCTTCCTCCTCTTTCCTCTTCCCCTCACCCCCCACCACGTGCTGCTCCTAGCTTTGGTTTCGGAGGGGAGTGGGGTTATTCTCAGTGAGTGTGGCTGTGTGTGTGTGTGTGTGTGTGTGTGTGTGTGTGTGTGTCTTTTGGGGAGGGTATGAAAACCCCCTGGAGGATTGTGGGAATGGGACCTCCTGATGTGGGGCCACCAGAGCAGAGGCTCCGGTCTGAGCTGGTGGTCTGCCATGGCAGCCTGGGGATACAGGGGGGTTTAGGGGGGTTGGGTGAGGTGGGGTGGGACTGCTGCCCCAAAGAAGAGCCAGGACTCACTGTCTGCCCAGCTAAGTCTGCAGTCCCTCCTCCCTACCCACCCCCTGGGTCTGGGCTGAGAGCTTTGGATGTGCCCCTGCCTCGTCTCCTTCTTCATGTGCGTGGAGGAGACGTTGGGTTGCCCTCCGCACCAGGAAGGCACTTTCGTTCCATCCTTAACTGGCCCCTTTCTCTATCCATGGAAAACTTGAAATCACACTCCTTTCTTTCTCCTTCTCCCTTCCTCCCACTGAAGATCCATTCAGAGCTTCAGCTTCAGTGCAGTCTGGAATAAGCCCAACCTGTCATTTTTCCAGGTTGGGCCAATTCCTGTGCAGACCCTATTGGGGCTGAAGTGTGAGAGGAGAGAGGAACTAGGCCAGATTAGCAGGGGCAAGAGATGATTTGGGGGCATTTAAGTCAGAATGGAATGATATGCAAGAGTCACGTCAATTAACTAGTATTCTCTAGGAATTTATTCTCTAGCAGGGAATTTAAATTAAAGGCAGAAGTGTGCTGGTAAATGTTTAACAACAGGCTCTCAGAAAAAAAATGTACCCCAACCCACTTTTAAACTGTATTTTTAACATTTTCTCCATCACTTTCTTCAGTCTTCTAGACAATCAACAGAATAATAAATCAAACCCTGATTTGTAGCATTTGCAGTTTTTGAGGTGTAAACACTTGCACTGAAAATTTCACAATTGCCTGTGAGCTTGCTCCAGCATACCCCTACAAAAGAATCCCTAGTATTCAGAGCAAAGGAAATTGAGGCATATAGAATATGTGGTAAGCCCAGTTCTCCATCTGTGAGGTGGCTTGCTAACCCAAGGTCCTAACTCAGACCCTGGGCAAGAATGCTAGGAAAGCAGAGATTGTTCTTACCTGTTCTTTAGCAGTAAGAATCATGTGACGCCAAAAGAAAGGGCTTCTTCTCTGTGTGGCTGCCGTTGGAGCCCTAGGATAATATGCATAGCTGACCCTGTCTAGCTATGGAAGCTCCAAAGTGGCAGAAGGTAAGGCTGGCATTTTATGGGCATGGACTTCATGTTTCTGGATGTGTCTAGGCCACACTCTTCAACTTTTATTCTAAAATTCTGGGGTTAAGAATTTTAATAACTATATTGGTTCCCTGTGTAATCCTTTGTATTTTATCTTATGCATTTAACATAATTGTTCTGGGAAAGGGTCCATAGGTTTCACCAGACTGACAAAGGGGTTCAGGGTAGAAAAATGTTGAGAGTCCTTGACCTAGATCCTCAATTCTTCCTAAAACTGGCTTGTGTCTAGGCTGGATTTGAAGACAGAAGACCTCAGTTGGAAACCCAGATCTGCCACTCGCTACCCCTGGGACTTAGGACGAGTTACTCTCTTGGTCTCACTTTCCTCATGTATAAAATAAGCGGATGAACTCTGAGGCCCCTTCTAGCTCTAAACCAATGATGCTGTGAATTGCCTCAGTTGTTGATGTTTCCTTCTTTTCTAGACACGGTGCCTTAGACTTCTCTTATCTCTTGCCCTTAGTACATTCCACCAGCCAGCTCTGAGTTACTAGCCGTCAACACCGCCCTGTTCACCACGTCAGCCCTCACCACCCTAGTTCATGCACGACATCATGTCACCAATTGTTTGGAGCCTGGGATCTTGGCCACATCCCCAGAATTCTAGAGCTACCACCCCTCATCTAGTCAAAGTTAGGACAGCGTATGTGTCTGATACAGGATTGGGCACGGCATGCGGAGCTGGTGTTCCAGGGAGCAGACAAGGGTCTGGGCTATTCTGTTTTCCCTTCTTGATGGGGAGGGAGATGGTAGAATAGTACTTAAACTCAGGACCTATCCTAACTAGTAAGGCCTTGGACCAGCTCAATTGTGGGAAGGACTCACTACTTCTTTGGAAAGAATCTGGAGTCATTGTGGTATCAGCATCCCACAGCTCTGAAGCAGCCTGGCTTAATGGGTAGAGGGATGGACTGAGAGTCAGGAGGACCTGAGTTCAAATTTAACATCATAAACTTACTAGCTGGTGTGACCCTCAGTAAGTCATTTGCTCTTTTGTCTCAGTTTCCCCATGTATAGTATGGAAATAATAATAACATCTACCTCACAGGTAGCTGTGGGCAGCTAGGTGGCAACAGTGAAAAGAGTACTGGGCCTGGAGTCAGGAAGACTCATCTTCTTGAATTCAAATCCAGCCTCAGACACTTACTAGCTGTGTGATCCTGGGCGGGTCATTTAACCCTGTTTGCCTCAGTTTCCTCATCTGTAAAATGAGCTGTAGTAGGAAATGGCAAACTACTCTAATATCTCTGCTAAGAAAACCCCAGATGCGGTCATAGAGAGTCAGACACAACTCAACAACAATAACAACACCTCACAGGTGGGATCAAGTGAGATAACATATGAAAAGTCTTTTGCAAATCTTAAAGTACTAGGAAAGTATATTATATGTGTGACCTTGGGCAAGTCACTTTCCTTTCTATGTTCCACAGTTTCCTCACAGGCAAAGGACTCGATGATGTCTAAGACCTTTTTCCAACTTTAACGACAGTGATAAATGGGTTACCCAGTTACAGAGTAGAGGTGTTACCCCAGCTGAGTAAGCCTGGAATGGAAGAGGATGGAGGCATTGTCCCAGATGGGGAAGACTAGCTGAGCCCAAGGGAAGGCTTGGCCCAACCCAGAGGGGTCTGCCGGCAGGAGGAAATGATCTGTGTTTCAAGACTTTAGCTCGCCCCCTGCCTTAGGGAATGAATGATCCTCATTCAGCTTAGTGGGTTGTTGTTGGCAGTAGTGACCAGGGTGCTGATGGAGGTCTGTGCTTTAGACTTAAAACAGGCCTTAGATCATCTAGCCGATTCCTGCACTTTACAGAGAAGGGAACTGAGGTCCAGAGAGCAGAGACTTACCCAAGGTCACATGGCTACTAAGTATTAGATCTAGGATTCAAACCCAGGTTCTCTGACTCCCCAAACCATCACTTTTCCTATTATGTCTTTCCACTTTTTTCTGCTCCTCTCACTGAGAGATTCTGCTCCACTTGCCCTTACTCTCAATCTCAACCCCTCTTTCACCTCTTCTTGTATTCCCAGTGCTTAGCATAGTGCCTGGCACATAGTAGGCTCTTAAAAAATGTTTCCTCACCGACTGTTAAATCCCCCAGGCTATTGTTGAGGAACTGGTGGGCCATCTTGGAAGACAACCCTGCCTAGCCACTAGCTCAGATCTTTTATGTTGCAATGTCACCCCACTTGTTCTTTTTCTGGTCTCAGTGGAAGTAGCAAACAGCCTTTTTCTGTCCAACAACTTTCCTGGGACTTCAATGCTGCAATCAGCTGGCCCTGGTCTTCCCTTCTCCCCATTGGATGGTTCCACTATCTACAGTTTCCTCAGCCTTAACTGCTTAGATTTCTACGTCGGCTCCTTTCATTTGTACTGCGCCCAGCACCCTGAAAACCTTGCTCTGACCTACAGCCTGCAGAGGGAAAGAAGGGGTCAGGAGGTAGGAGAAATGACCCAAATTCAGCCTGGCCTCTGGAAAGGGTCTCAGGCATCCTTCGTCCCTGGCTTCTCCCCCAGAGCAAAGGGCCTTTCTTTGTTACCACCAGCTTAGGCTCCAGGAGCCATTGGAATTCCTGGAGCTTGCTGCCTTCGAGGAACCTTCTGTGCCCAGCTCTACCTTGGGCTGAGGTGGGGATGGCTTCAAACAAAATGCTAAATGGTTTTCTGAGAATCTCCCCCTCCTTCTCCCCTCATCCAAAGGGAGTTGCTCTGTAGCTTCCTGGGAGATGAGGACCCACAGGTGGAACAGAGAATTGTGGCTTCTCTCCCTCCCACTCTCTAACTGGGTCAGGGCCAGACCTCACAGAGGTGCTGGCACCCTCATTAGCTGCTAGTTGTTGATGTGAAAATGAAATAATTGGCTCCCACCCCCACTCGCCTACTTCCCTCCCTTCCACCTTACCCATTCCCCAAAAGGCCCCTAGGCAGAGATAGGATGTATTCCCCCGAGGGGCTCTACCCTCTTGTCCCTCCTGCCAGAGAGCACAGAGATTGAATTGCTGTTTATTTAACTCAGAGGTGAGGTAAGACTTGGCAGGGGAGGATTTGGGAAGGAGGGGCAAAGGGAAAGGGATCACACTTAGGAAGCCTGAAGACAGGCAGATGGATGGAATATGATTACTCCCATTGCCCTGACTGAGATGTGAGGGGCACCGTGATATAATGGGTAGAGTGCTCATCTCGGAGTCAAGAAAACCTGGGTTCAGATCCTGCTTCTAACACCCACTAGCTACATGACCCTGGGCAAGTCACTTCACTACTCTGGCCCTCAGTTTACTAATCTGTAAAAGGAGGTAGATGACCTCTAAGGTCTCTTTCAGGCAGCTAGGTGACACAGTGGATAGAGCATGGAATTGGAGTTGGGAAGACCTGAGTTCCAATCCAGCCTCAGACATGTAGCTGTGTGACCTTGAGCAAATCACTTGAACATTGTCTGCCTCAGTTTCCCTATCTGTAAAACAGGAACAATAATAGCATCTACCTTTCAAGGTTGTTGCAAGGATAAAATGAAATACTAT